GTCGGACGCTCAACCGACTGCGCCACCCAGGCGCCCCCAGATACCTTTTTACACATTTCATGTGAGTATATGTAGACCCTCTTTCTTTGAACAGAAAATGGGATTTTTGATAGACAGCTTTGTTATTAGGCTTTTTAACTTAATGGGGGGAATGAATATATTTGCATGTCAAATATATCTATGTTCCCATTAATGACTGCATGACTTATAAGCTAATCCTCTATTTCTGTATGTTTAAGTTGGCTCACATTTTTTTTTTCTATCATATAAAAAACTCTGTGATGAACACTCCCCTATATTCATGAGCTTGTCCAATTACTACCTTAGGATGAATTCCTGGAAGTAGGAATTACAGGTCAATGGTAAGAAACTATTTTTGAAATGTTTGTGGTTTGTGTTTTGTTTTGTTTTCCATGAAATAGAGGTGATAAAACAGATTTAGGGGGCATGCTAAGTTTTTAGTATTCTGTTGTACTCAAATTTTTTTTAAACCTGGTAAAACTCTGTTTTTTAAATATGTCCAAAGAATTTAAATAGAAGGTTTCAACATTCAAGCCCCTTCAAACTATAAAAACATATTGGTTGAAAAGCATAAAAATCTATCAGTGATTTGGAAGACAAGACATATCCTAATTTCAATAACTTTTATTATTTCTTTAATCAAATGAGAAATAACAGCAGAAAAAGAAGAACCCACATTTGTAAAAATGATCTCCGATTTTTAAAATTTTTATTTTTCGGATTCAAAAAATACAGATTCATTATAGAAAATTTGGAAAATACATAGAAGAAAATATGAATTTCCAAGAATCCAACAATACATAAGAGAGCCTTACAGTTTTACTACTTTCTACACATGTGTACTTTTTAACAATTTGCCATTTTCCTTCTCTCGCCCACCCGACGCCCCAGAAGAGAGGCGAAGGCAGGTCCTCGAGGACCACGGCCTGTGACATCCACCATACCACTGTGTCCTTACTGCAGGCCTCCCTTCTTGCTGAGCTGTGGCCTGGTTCCTTGCTTACTCCCCAGACTGCTTTGTAAACGCACCACCCACCCCCCAAAGTGCCAAGGCTCCTCTGCCTCCAGAAGTCCCAAGCGGGAGAACTCACAAAGTCAACTTCCAGCTAGCTGCCTGCTTCATTTCAGGGCCAGGCTTCTCCCAAGTGACACCCTGAAGATTTATCTCAGCTGATCAACGTCTGAAGCAGCAACTAATACCTCTTAAAATGTATATAGCACGTTAAAGTTTAGCGAGTTCTCTCACACACATTTAACCTCTGCAAGAGTCTTCTGAAGTGAACAGAGTAGATATCCTTATTTAACAGAGAAGGAAACAAGGTGCAGAGGAGCCGAGGAAAGATCATACATAGCTAGTGAGTGGCAGAGCTTGGACTGGAAGCCATAAATTGACTCCAAGGTCAGAGCTCTTTACCTAGCCATTAAACCGTGCTTAAGTCTGACAACTAGAAATTAAGAACCAGAAGGGTCTTCAACAGATCACCTCATCTAATCCCTTCTTAGTATTCACACACATAAGGAAAATGAGTCCCCGAGAAGCTAGGTGATTGCCGAAAGTCACCAGCTTTCGTGATGAAGAGAATCTAAAGGCACAATCTTCAGACTCCCAGGCCAGTGCTCACGCCAGTCGTCCCTAGAGAGATGTTCTTTAATAAGCTGGTCTCTCATCCGGTGTCTTCTGCTTAGCCAAATGTCAACCAGGAATTAAAATCCTAAAAGTGTAGAATGTTAGAGCCAGAAGGAACCTTAAAGACCACCCAGGCCAACCCACTCACTTTACAGATGAGGAGTCTAAGATCCAGAACCCATGGCTTCCGACATTCAATTCTATGCACTTTCCTTCCAACTCATCCTATCACTTCCCTTCTGAGTAGTTAAAAACAAAATCTGGCCAAAGATGTTTACTTCCTTCTTTGACATTCAGTGTGACACAGGCCACAGATCAGCAAAGTCAAAGTGAAACTAAATGGGATTTGAATTCAGAAGATACTTAGTTTGTAACAGATGTACCCACCATGACTGTAGCATGAAATATCCAAGTTCTGCTGCGTTCTAAGCAGCCTCCCCCACGCTCCACCCTCCACCTCCATAACCAGACAGCAGGTCTATTGAAATGTGTGTGTCGTAGGAAAGGGCACCAATGACCCTTTGGAAGTCACCCATCCTTTAATCTGTGAAAATGTAGCAATATTGTTTGGCTAAAGACTTTTACTCCACAAATCAGCCAGGAATCCTGATTAAAGCTGGCAGCACATCACCAAGGCTGTCACAGTTCCTTGACCCCAGTGGACCCAGATCCTGCTCTCACCATCTTTGTATCATCTGTGTATCATCCAAATCAGCTCCTGAAAGTATGCTACCTTGATTCTCCTGTAGCAGGTCCATGGTTCTATGGCTAGCCTTCTTTCTCTAATGAGATGGAAAGCTCTTTGAGGGCAAGGCACTACTTCTGCCATTGCCCCTAGCTTCAAGAAACTTGAAGAAGGGTAAACAAAACCATGTGTAAAACCAAGCGCAGTCACACAGGTGTAAACAGGAAGCCAAGGAGCCCAGAAGAGAGCATCTACTGGTGGGGAGGGGTAGCTGCTGGGTAAGGTAACAGATCCGAGCCTTAAAGGGCTAGTGGAATCAGTCGGGCAAAGGTAGGCAGAAGGCAAGCCAGGCAGGCGGGCCAGCGTCAGCAAAAGCAAGGAGAGAAAACAGTTCAACGTTGCCGGAGCATCAAGTGCAAGGCGGGGAGTGGTGGGAACTGAGGCTGTAGCGGTGGGCCCAGCTCCGAGGCGGCAGGCAACAAGCCCGCGTAATTCGCGCTGACCTGTACGGGGAGGGCCGCTTACGCAATTCGCGAGTAAACGAATTTGGGCGCCCATTACGAGGCTCTGTCAATGACCGCCAGCCGCGGCCGCGCCGGCCCCCTCCCCCTTGCACCTGTGCGCCTTCGCAGCTGCCAAAGCAAACGCAGCGCTGCCTTAATCCGCTAGATTTTCAACGCGGGCCGCACGCCCCCCCCCCCC